ACGGCTGATATGGCTATGGTTGCTACAATCCCAACAGCGATCAACGATAGACGTATGGATAACCACTGTGTTGCAGCTAACGACGAGAACTGGGCTCTCAAGTTTACGGTAAGTCTCTCGCGCAGTTCTTTTGCAAATCTAAGTACATAATAAACTCAGCAAAGAATGGCAGATAAAGGAATTCAAGCTACCTATCAACAAATCGCTGTGCTCGAATAGTAACAAGTCCATTTACGGTATCGCTCAAATGGGAATAGAATGGTGATAAACTTAGAGAAGTAAGTCGTTTCAGTTCCACAGTGGTAAGTCTGTAAAAGGCAGATTTCGAAGACTTCCACTTTTTCTAACGGTACAGCAAGTTAAGAAGTGATAAACCAACCTGTAATATTTTTGGATAAAGTAGTAAATGGTCAGTAAGAGAAGAATAATCGGTGTCATTAGTGGGAGACCCATGATTGTGATTACCATCGTACCAATAAGATTGAAGAAAGAGGCAAGAAGGATATTCAGCTAAAATGGAGCGAAATTAGAACTGTTCCAGGAGCAAGGAACGTACAACTTGCGCACATTTTTCTACACAAAAAGATTTTGAAAAAAAAAACTTCCATAAGTGGATGTAAAAAATGCAAAAAAGCGAAAGATTTTGCAATGTCAAAACAGTGACACTGAGTCAAAAGAGAGAAGAATTTAGCAAGAAAAAAACCATAACAACCAACCTGGAAAGGCAAATTATCGTCACAGGTGTATACATCTGAACAAATCCGATTTATAACACGACCAGATGGAGTGCGATCCCACCATGATGCCGAAGCCTGGAAACAAACAAATTTTGTGAAGCCGAAACTAAACTTCATAATTGCTACCTTGAGAAGTTTGTGTAGAAGATTGGCATGAAGATGTCTTGCTGCTTGAATACCACCATAAGCGAAAAGGAAAGCTCTAATGCAGGTAAAAATCGTGTTAGCTGCCGCTATACATCCATAAATAATCAAAAAATATACAGCACGATCCATCTGCTTGTCATCC